CTTTGTCCGACACAAGACTGCTGGGTAAAAATGCGGTCGATTTCAAGACGAGACCAAGACCGATCTGGAGTACTACAGCTTTTGCAGTTCTTAATGATTAGTGGGAGATACTGTCCCCATCAAAAAAACCCTTTATCTTCCACTTGGTATTGCAGTAAATGTGTTTTTCTACTCTGCAGCTCATAATTACAGTCGGAGTAGTTCAGTGTGACTGTAGCTTAACGCCTAGGCATTTAACAAGCCAGTGTTACTTTGTGACGCTGTACATTACCCCCTGACTCCTTATGTTACTTCATGTTGTGATTTGATTCACAATACGGAGAGGAGTATTCTGTATTCTAGTATTTCTGTTCTGCTGTGCTGCAGGAGTCAAGTAAATAAACTGCTGTGTGCCTGTTTGAAAGGTTAAAGTCTTAAGGGGAAAGAAATGACAGCTGAAATGTCAGCACTCTTCTTTCGGTGCATGTGTACACAGAGGTTGCAGAAGAAGCCCTGCTGATATTGAAGTGAACGACAACAGTGACAGCATGGCATATTAGTGGCTCGCACAAAGCACTGGGTGGCCTTTGTGTGCACTGGGGGCAGGCGGGGAGCGAGCCCCGGCTCCTTCTGTGGCTCGTCTGTGAATGTGAGACGCCTCTGTTGTTGGGTGATAGAAACCTCAGTCGGGTCCATTCAGTGGGAAATGATACAATATTTCTTCTCGGCAAAGCAGCGGATCCTGACTGAGCTCTTCCGGTGGGATGGGGAACATGTATATTAGCAGTAGTATCCCAGGGTAGGGTTCCCCTGCAGGAATACTTGTAACACTGTGTAACCAAAGTGGGTTCCTCTCATGGACATGGTGTCTTTCTAAGAGGGGGGTGCTTTCTCTGTTGTTTTCACATCTGGACAGCACACTGTGGCTATTACATGGAAGCAGTTTCTATTATAGGACCTAAAAAATCCATACATTTTCTACATGTATAATCTTTATATACCACATGTCAGGGTTTTCCAGTCTTGGGGTTAGGACCCACAGGGGGGCACAGTATTGCAATACTGACTGATTAATTAGTTCTAGCTCAATCTGATGAGAAATATAGGTTAGGGTGAGGTGTCGGTGGAGGCCAACAGTTCATTTTGATCCCACAACCCCCATGCAGGGTAATTCAGCCTTGCTGATGGCTAGTAGAGCTTAGCCAAATTCCTGATTCTACAGACTTTTTTGTAGATAGTTCTATAGTTTTCGGAAACAGTACATGGGGAGCTGCAGCTCTTGAAAGGAGTGTATGAGCTTTAGGAATCTGGATTGGTTTTATCTTGTGACTCTTTGCTGTGGTGTGTTCACTAACGAACTTCACGTGACACTTAAGAATGAAAGCTAAGTGTTTGATTTAGCAGCCCTACTGGAGACGGAAGGTATTTAGCCTCTTCTGTTTGATAGTTTTGATTATTGTCAAACTATGAGAGTAGTCTACAGACTGGTGATGGCCATGCTGTTCTGTCAGTCACATTCCTAAAAGTGGTATTTTTCATGTGGATGTGCACCTCTGCTCTGTGTTGCAATAGAGTAGGTAGAGCAAAGCAGCCGCATCAGGAGGTCAGATTATTACCTGCCATTTACATCTCGTCTTTACTCAGAATAGACGGCGTGCCATGTGCTTGACAGTGTGTTTTTTAGGCTAGTTTTTTTGTTTTTGTTTTTGTTTTTGTTTTTTTTTTACAGTTGCTGTCTAGGTTTTTTTTATTTGTTTTTATGTACAGTATTCCAGTGGATTTCTGTACAGTCTTTTGTATGTACAATTTTCCACAGAAACAAGTCTTTCATGTTTACCCCACAAACATGCTTAAGGGCCATAGTTACAGTTTGCCATTTCATTTTTAAATGATGAGGGGCAGTTTGGAGCACTTCATCAGGCAGGCAATTACATGAAAACCTGTTCACCATTAAAACACCACTAGAAGCTGTTGTTGACTTAGTGCTGTTGAATCAAGGCTCCTGTGAAGCGGCTTTAGTCCTCCACCCTGCTACTGTTCATCTTCATCTCCACAGGCAAAGGAAGCTGTCTTTTTCTGTCTATCACTTCTCACCCTGTTGGTATAATGACTCACACAGGCCATTGCACTTTATTGTTTTAATGAAGTACCAATAAGATGACATAGAATCAGTTTGGAAGGATTTCTGGCTGCAGCACACTAGAAATCTGTTGATTATATAGACATTGTAGTCATTTAGCAGATGCTAAATAAGATGGAATAAGCTTCAGCCCATAGAAGAGTGACAAAAGCAGAATGAAGTGTAGGGCTCAGAGGTCAAAGGTTGGGACAGTGGTATACAGTTAAACCCCAATCTTGAGGTGGGGACACTGTGTGAAATACAGGGTGGGCCTCAGGACCCTTGTTGGACACCAGAAAACTTCAGTTTTTTGGTTTTTCATAATTATTTGTGTATATGATAAAAGGTATTGGCATATAACTGTACAGTTGTTGATTTTTAACCCATTTAAAAATAACAAATTACATGTTGGTTATACCACTGGCCATTAAAGGCCATTTAAGGAGTGGATAACTTATAGGGCTTTCTCTGTGGCACACACAAGCAGTTGTCAGTTTATTCTCTGGCAAAGACGAGTGCTACCAAATACACTTCCACAGTAGTAGATACAGAGCTGCTCTGATGGGGAGGAGACAAGCGAAGGTGCCCGTGATAGTAACCTTACAGAGGGTTGGACTTGGACACGCCCGAGCTCGAAGCCAGGAGAGGAAATCTTTCAGGTTCTGTGTGCTGAGAAGTTCAAAGTTTGGCACAAAGACAAAGTAACTAGTGGAGACCTGTAAAAAGATCCTAGGTGCATGATGTGTTTTAAATGTAGTAGTTCTGCTTTATCTGAAAATCATGTAACAAAAATGGCTTTGTACAAAGTATAAGTATGCAGTAGTGTAGGGTGCTGTGTATTCTGTCAATACCAGGAACCGATTCCTCTACCGAACCCAAGTCCTTGCTTCGCCAATGGGAGAACAAAAATCGAACACCTCTTACATTTATTACAGATTTTTTTTTTTTTTTAGATTGATTTTTGGCCATGTGTTTTGGTAGATGCACTATATTGTCAAAAGTATTCGCTCACCTGTCTTTACATGAACTTGAGTAACAACAGATTCTTAACCCATAGGGTTTAATATGATGTTGGCCCACCCTTTGCAGCTATAACAGCTTCAACTCTTCTGCGAAGGCTGTCCACAAGGTTTAGGAGTGTGTTAATGGGAATTTTTGACCATTCTTCCAGAAGCACATTTGTGAGGTCAGACACTGATGTTGGACGAGAAGGCCTGGATTGCAGTCTCTGCTCTAATTCATCCCAGAGGTGTTCTATTGGGTTGAGGTCAGGACTCTGTGCAGGCCAGTCAAGTTCTTCCACACCAAACTCACTCATCCATGTCTTTATGGACCTTGCTTTGTGCACCTGCGCACAGTCATGTTGGAACAGGAACGGGCCATCCCCAGACTGTTCCGCAAAGTTAGGAGCATGAAATTGTCCAAAATGTCTTGGTATGCTGAGGCATTAAGAGTTCATTTCACTGGAACTAAGGGGCCAAGCCCAGCTCCTGAGAAACAACCCAACATCATAATCCCCCCTCCACCAAACTTTACACTTGGCACAATGCAGTCAGACAAGTTCTGTTCTCCTGGCAACTGCCAAACCCAGACTTGTCCATGGGATTGCCAGACAGAGAAGCATGATTCGTCACTCCAGAGAACATGTCTCCACTGCTTTAGAGTCTAGTGGCGGCGTGCTTTACACCACTGCATCTGATGCTTTGCATTGCACTGGGTGATGTAAGGCTTGGATGCAGCTGCTCGACCATGGAACCCCATTCCATGAAGCTCTCTACACACTGTTCTTGAGCTAATCTGAAGGCTACATGAAGTTTGGAGGTCTGTAGCTACTGACTCTGCAGAAAGTTGGTGACCTTTGTGCACTATGCGTCTCAGCATCCACTGACCCTGCTCTGTGATTTTATGTGGCCTACCACTTCATGGCTGAGTTGCTGTCATTCCCAGTCGCTTTCACTTTGTTATAATACCACTAACAGTTGACTGTGGAATATTTAGTAGCGAGGAAATTTCACAACTGGACTTATTGCACAGGTGGCATCCTATCACGGTACCACGCTGGAATTCACTGAGCCCCTGAGAGCGACCCATTCTTTCACAAATGTTTGTGGAAGTGGTCTGCATGGCTAGATGCTTGATTATATACACCTGTAACCATGGAAGTGATTGGAACACCTGAATTCAATGATTTGGATGGGTGAGTGAATACTTTTGTCAATATAGTGTACTTCAGGGATGTTCAACATTTTGGGAAATGCACTTACTTGCATCCTTTGCTGACTTTCTTGGCCTGACCCTGAAGCTTTCTGGAGTCATCTTCTTCACTGTGAGGTTATCAGGCAGTCAGTGACATTATCACATGTATAATTGATGCATTAAACAATTTGGAGCATACTGGCTTTAGAGGTGCTGGCATGTGGATTTTGTTACCTTTGGAGAGAACCAAGTTGGCTGTATCCTTGTTTCCATTCTTATTGCTAAGCTAAGTTAATCAGCTGCTGGCTATAGCTTCATATTTAACAGGCACAAAAGAGTGGTATCAATCTTCTAACTTTTTGAAAAGAAACTAAGCATATTTCCCAAATGTATAACCTTCGTTATGTGAGGCTGTTAGTGGCCTGGTGTGGAGGAAGATGTACTGGAAGATTCTGGTCCCGAGATGAGGTTGACAAACACAGTAAACATGCAGACAGGACGATTAAAGCTCAATCAGGCTTAGAGGGAAGGCTTTACATCAAATACTGAAGATTCTTCTTTTAAATGTACAAATCAGTCACACAACCATTGCAATAATACATTTTGTGACACACGAGTTACTTCAGTTGTTTTTAGCTGTGATTAACGTCTGGTTTTGTAGCATCCATGTGTTAATTCAGAATAAATATTTCCTGTATACCACCAGCGCTGGTCCCAAAGGAGACAACATCTATGAGTGGAGGTCGACCATCCTTGGCCCTCCGGGCTCTGTGTACGAGGGAGGAGTGTTTTTCCTGGACATCGCCTTCACACCAGACTACCCCTTCAAACCACCCAAGGTGCAACTCTTACTTTAGTTGTTTGCATCCAGCCAAGTCCATCTTGCCAACTATGCTTTGATGGCTCTTTTAGAGAGATCTCATTTTCCTATTTTGTCACTAGAGGGCACACTTGCCCTGTGGAAAGCAGCTAAATGACTACGGCTCATACTGACCTATCAAATATGTGGGATCACTCGGCCCTCATGCTTGTTTCTCTCCTTTTAAAGAGGAGCTGTCCTGTCCATTCAAATATGTAGAAAAGTACTGTGACCTCATGTTTCCAAACCTTCACACTTCATAAAATGACACAAGGGCCTTTCAAAAACACGAGGCACTGCTTGTCATTTTCAGAGCAGCACTTTGCCACTGTCACATCCACAGTGGATCTGTGATGGAATAAGGTTGTCCAGGCCAGTTTCCACCAGATAAAATTACACATACTGCTCATTTTTTTCCCTGTGGAGTTTGTTATAAAAGACATAAGCACATGTATTAAAGCTGCAGATTATAGGCCCACCCTTTCTGTTGTCAAGGTGACGTTCCGTACGAGGATCTACCACTGTAACATCAACAGCCAGGGGGTGATCTGTCTGGACATCCTGAAGGACAACTGGAGTCCTGCCCTCACCATCTCCAAGGTCCTGCTGTCTATCTGCTCCCTGCTCACGGACTGCAACCCTGGTGAGAGCTACAGCACACACTGAAGCCTAGTTAGAGTATCTGCTCATTAACCATCAGGACAAAATAACGGCACCTATCAGCGGAACACTACAGTTCACCAGCACCACACACAGCAGCCTTGTAAAAGGCTCATACAGTTGAGAAAGAGGTTGTTGTAGGTCCTGCATTAGTTTCTGCTTGTTTTTCTGGCCTGTCTTAACTCTGTTCATCTTTTACTTCACATGTAATATTTTTTTACACAGTACGCTTTGTCACTCCCAAATTAGACACTTGGACTGAGCGCTGCAGGAAAGACCCAGATGACACTAATGACTAATAGTTGAGGTTCAGTGCAGCAAAGTGTTTTGACAGGTCAACAGATTTCTGAGTGGGAAAAAACCTAACGTAGAATTAGTCACTGTGTTTTACCTGTTCACAGCCGACCCTCTGGTGGGAAGCATCGCCACACAGTACACCACAAACAGACCCGAACACGACAGGATAGCCAAACAATGGACCAAGCGCTACGCCACATAATCAACGGATGTTGGCAGGACAATGCACAGATGTGGGGGTGGGTGGAGACAGGTGGATTTTTATCTCAGACTTGAAGTCTTAACTCCTGACTGTTTATTGTATTTTTTAAGTTATATCTGGCCCACATGTAATCAAATCTGGCAATAATGCATTTAGTGTTTCCTTTTCTTTTTTTTTAGCTTGTGCTTGAAGATGGACATTGATCCTTAACTGCTAGATGAAATGTGTCACAGCATGATTCCTAGTCAATTAGGTCGGTGTAAATTTCACATGCATAAAAACTCCAGTTGCTGTTTGCTTCCCCCTCCAACCCCCTGGTCTTTGAAAGGGTGATTTACACATGTAGACAAGTTTAGATGTGGATGGATATCGGTTGTGATTCGTGTTCTGTACTGATGAAAAGCTGTTTGTTTTTCCCTTAAAAAATTAAACATGCCCAACTGAAGCATCTGACTTTCTTTGATTAAAAAAAAAAGGTTTAGTTCATATTCACTTCACCATACCACCAAAATAAAGGATATAATATGAAGAGGCTACATTTTATTCAGTGCATCTTAAGACAGTTACAGTGCACAGAGTAATTTAAGGTTAGCATGTTCACTACCTCTGTTCTATTAGCAGCGCATGAAACGTTACTCTCAAACATGAAGGACACAAAAACAGTACAGCTCATTGTTCACATTGTCTCTGTTCTCAAAAGTCAAGGAATGACAAAAATAAATTTGTTAAAAAATAAACACATTTCTACTATAAAGGGTTGCGCACACACACTTAACAAATAGCCCTATTGGATTATATAGGCAGGACGACACACAGGAGTGCAGCTACTGCCAGACATTATAAAATCATACAACACAAAAGTAAAGGCCTAAGTACCTTGAATATTATTGCTGCCAGGCCATACTTTAATACAGGAGATGGACTGGACAAAGGCTAGCGGAGTCTTGCCCGCCACTAATTAATGCTGCATTCACATCAGACAGGAAATAACATTTTAGGTACAAGACTTCCTTCTGAAAATACTGTTAGTCTACAGCATTCATGAGCTACTGGGGAAGTCAGCATTTGATGCCAGAGCTTATAGGACAGCGTCGGCTTTATCTGGCTGTAAAGGATGAATTACAACATGTATCTTGACAAGGTCAATATTTCTGTAAATACAGCTTAGCTAGCTTAACGTAAGCAGTGGGAGCAAGCTAACCTGATTCTCTCTAAAGTTCAAAAACCTGATGTTTAATACTTCTAAGGTTTACCAAAAAACATTAAGAGTTACAAATCATACTGTCCATTTTATTCGGTACACCTGTATAGTCTCACACAATCCAATTCAACTTTCCAGTCAGTTTTTTAATGTTCCTGTGGCATTCATTTTGTTGACACTTTCATAGTTGAGGCCATAGTAGCACATTTTCAACAACAAAAACCATGTAAAGGTAGAACATAGGGCAGGGTTGTTGTATTGAACTGCAATAGGTGGTACAGGTGTACCTAATGAAGTGGCCACTGAGTGTATGCTGGAACTATTTCTTGACAAGCATCAGTTCACAGATGCACCTAACATTTCTGGGTAGTGTCTTCAGCTGCAGCCTGGATTGCCAGATATGGTCAGTGAGCAAAGTTTTTGGCATATCTATAGGTTTGGTGCCCAAAATTGGCAACCTCACAATGATGACAGTCTGAAAAGCTACACCACAATGCTTTGCCAAGAAAGAGCTACAACATGCAACTCCCTCTACAACCATTTAAAACATAAAATCACAATTTTTTTCCCAAACTCGTCATCACCACCACAACCTGTGCTCAATAACTGTATCTGGCAAACAAATAGTTTACGGCAGTGCAGAGTAGATGGATATCTTGTTTGTCAAGAACACTTTCAGCAGTTATCTACCACACATATATTTGTGCTGATCTTCTCATCACACTTTCAAAAAGAAATTGTCAGTGTAAAAGTTAAACTACTCCTACAAAGTTATGTTAAAACTGTATACAAGTGAATGCATAAGTGTAAAATGGCCAGATGTACCCAGCAGCATCCGTCCTGCTGGCTGTTCCCATATGAGATGAATGCGGCTTGTCATTAAGACACAAAGTAGAGATGGGAGTTGGGTTAGGGTTCAGATGTCGTTGGAAGGGGTGCCCTTGCTTTTGCGCCCTGGCAGAGGGAAGGAAGACTTGCTCTGAGGCTGTGTGAGGCGGCTGGTCAGCTGAGTGAAGGGCTCAATGAGTGAGTTGCGTTCGGCGACACTCACCTCCCACAGCTTCACCTTCTCGCCTCGTGCCCATTGTTGGGCCACCTCCTGGTCCACCTGGCGACGCTCCCAAAGGTCTGTCTTATTCCCCAGCACTATGACTGTCACCTGAGAAAACAGCAGACACACCTGAACTGACAGTCCTCAGTACATGAACCAAACGCTACGGTAGTAAACTATGCATATGCTGTATGACGAAACAAACTGGGAGCTTAGCCTCCATGATTTCAAAAGCCACTGGATAGCGTACAACTTAGTACATATCAAACTCTTTTTATAGTCCCTCAAGACATACTGGAGCCACATACTGTACTTTGACCTGTACAGAGGGATGGTATTCTTGAAGGTATTTGTTGTTGAGATATCCAAAGTAATCCTGCGCTGTTGATTTTAATTTCTTTTTTGCTGGATGGAGTTTAGTGATTACAGCCTCCTCTCTGCTGCATGTGGCACCTGTTACGGAGTCCGACAGGCATCGGGGAAGAAAGGTGCACACACATTGCATTTTTTTTTCTCCAATACCGGTAATAAGCAAATGTGCATGGTATGATAACCATCAATTTTCATACCATGGTATACTGTGAACCCGGTATACCGCTACCATCTCTTTTCATGTGTGACCTGTATTGATGAGTTTCCTGGGAGTGAAGGTTTCCCTGTATACACTGCAGGTATATAGGTTTTTTTATTCATTCATGCCAGACATCCTGAAAGTTCATGCATGCTAGTATGCAAAGAGGCATAAAGAAATTAACTTATAATAATTATTTTACTGGATTAAAGCAAGTCACTTAATCTCTAAATACTGACAATGGCCATACAGTATATTGGCTATTATGACATCGCACATTCGTGGTTGAATGTTTGCTATATGATCTATAGGCAAAAAGCACATATGGTTATTAAAGTGTATTTTGAAATACCTCTTTTTTATCTCTGGATTTGTCTATTTCCTTCTTTACAACGTCCACCTTCTTGAACGACTCCAGGCTGTCGATGCTATAGACAAGTACGAAGCCATCTGCCACTGAGTAGTAGTGCTTGGGGAGGTCTTGTCCGTCATGCAGGCCCTTGGTGTCATAGAGCCTCAGCTGTTCCTTCACACCACGGTCAGTTTCCACTGAGGCCACATACACATCCTCTTGTGTCTCATTGGACTCAGAGCCTGGAAAAACACAAATATAACCAATTCAGAAAATACTACAGCCTTTGATCCAACCGTAAACATACCAATAAAACTGTATTACAACTGAATTGTCTGAAATAGTAAAATTATGATGATGGGAGGCCCTGAAAACTGTGGATGTATCCTATAATTTCAGTTAACCAAGGTGCATTATACACTTAATCACTCATTAAGTATTTAGACTCTTCATTCAGCATGTTGTAGCAGCCCCTTTGGCAGCAATTGCAGCTGCAAGTCTTCTTGGATATGTCTATACATTCTTCATGATGGACTCTCTCAAGCTCTGTCAGATTGGATAGGAGGTTTCAGTGAACTGCCATTCTCAGGTCTCTACTCAGATGGGTTCAAGGCTGGGCCAGTCGGGCACAGTCAGACTTGTTCTGAAGTCACTCCAGTGTTGTTTTGGCTGTACACTTCAGGTCATTGTCATGTTGAAATGTGAACTGTCGCCCCAGTCTGAGTTTGTGTGATGTCCCTGTATTTGGCTGTGTCCATATGCCCCCAGTTCTTTTCAGTCTCCCTGTGCCTGCTGCTGAGAAGCCCCCCAGTAGCATGATGCAGCCAACTCTAGAAAGCGTCAGGGTTGTGCTGAGCTTCAAGACACATCAGAAGGATAATTAAAACAAACAGAATGCACCTGACCAGAAACTGGAGTGCCACGGCAAAGGCTCGGAATACTCTCGAGAGTAAGAGATTTCAGTTTTCGATTCTTCATTTATTTCCAGACACCTCTATGACCATGTATTCGCTTTGTCATCATGAGTGATTACGTGTATACTGATGGGTAGAAATAGCAACTGTAGCCATTCAAAACTGAATCCACAAAAAATAAAATGTTCAAAAGGCGGTGTGAATACTTTCTCTGTATGTATACGTGTCACCGCACCACATCACTCCACGTGCATTTCTTACCTACTTTGTGATTTCCATACAGCAGCTGTTCCAAAATGGCAGTTTTCCCAACAGCTGCCTGGCCACACACCACAACTTTACAGCCTTTTCCCATTTCGAGCCTACGATTCATCAACACGAAACGTAACACTTTTAATAATCTCTAACATATCTTAGGCTTGCTATAATAACGAACAAGAGCTTCTCTTAAACACCCAAAACCAACTCTGCTTCTGTTCTTAGCACTGACTCGCGATCACAGCGTTTTCTTTAGCCTAACTAATTAGTTAACAGGTTAGCCGTAGCAACTAATGCTGCGTATTATAACGTATGAAAACTAGTCCAGTTCTGAATACACTTTACTTGTTTTGTTGTAAAGGTTCTTACCAAAATCAGATGTACAAAATAGCTAGCTAGCTATTAAATGTAACACTACATCCATCCTGCTTCGTTAAGACGTTGACCAGACTTATCCTGTCACTGCGCATGCGCTACTGAGGAACTTCCTCATCGTTGCTACGGCAGCTTGACAAATATTTTATAATAAACCTTATGTTCATAGTTATTTGTTAAATATATTCACAAGTGTAAATATATTAACAGCAAATCTCTCATGGCTGTTTACATAAATGACATTAAAGATACTTGGAAAGTATTAAATGTTTTTTAAAAAAGCCAAAACTGTTAAAATAATACACTTATTTGAAGTTTACTTTATTGACCTTTAATTTATCATGCTCATTTTCTGTGTTTTTTTTTCCTCGCCGGCTTCCCTTATTGTCTGTTATTTAGGTTGTCCTTATGCTCACTGGCTTTATTCTAACCTGTTCTGTCTGTTCTCTGAAATAAAAAAAAGCTTTAATCTAAAAACGTATTATTATTCTTCCATCCAAGATCTCCTCCAATTTCTATTTCATTAGATTCTGTTGATTAGTCCAGTTCTTCTGGAGTCATTGACCTATCTTCTCTGCAGCATGCAAACACTAACAAAAATGCTAAAATATGTTTAAAGACATTGTTTTATGCACATATATAACATATTATTTAGTTATTAATTTCACAAAGGATTAACTATTCATCTTATTTTGTTTAGGGTAGTTATAATTGTAATTGTTTTTTTTTTTTCACAATAAAGTAACATTGTGAGCAAATGAACAACTATACAATGAATACACATACGTTTCTGCAATTACGCCTATAGTCAGTATTGCAGTATTTTGGATCAATACTAACCTAATGCTACCTCTACAGATAGAATATTTCCGAACTTCTTTTCAGTCTATACTGTACTTTACTTTTAATTGATATATTTGATTTGAAATTGGAAACGAAGACTACATTTCCCATGAGCACAACAACGGAATGCGTCATGTCGTTTTCATAAGGCATGCTGGGTACGTAGCATCTCTCTTTCCGGCTGGTACGCCATCATGTAAGTGGTTATTTCTACGATTTTCTACAACGTGCAATCCATTAAAATCATCTTTTGTATACTTTCATCTGTCTGCTTGAGTCAGCACGTCGTATAGCGACATTTTAATGATGCATGCCTCTCGATTATTTCTTGACTAACGCTGTTAGACACTGAGTGTAGCAGTATTTTGTGTTGAGACGCTGTCCATCGAGTAAGCATCCACACTGTTGGCCGACGTAAAACAAACAAAAAAAAAAATATATCAAAAAAAAAAATATAAATATATAGTATTGCTGCCATGCAGCTTGACATTGGTGTAAAACTGAGTATTTTCGATGCGATTCTTTTGAAATTGCCCTGTGTAGTACATTTCTGTGGTAATGCTAGTGCAGGATATGGTTCTTAGGTTCGCTAACTCTGAGAGACGAGACAGTCCAAGTAACTTCAAAACAGTGTTGATTTATTCAAACTGCTCACAGGCAGATGTAAGATGAAAGACCCTGAACCCACCAGGCCTATACATTATATCCCCTCGGTTGGGCTAGCCCCATACTACACAGAAACGTCAACCGAGACGTCTCTGTTACCAGCTTTGCAGCTGGTCATAGCAGTAGTCAAAACATGAAGCAAATCAATGTGTGTGTCTGTGTCTGTTGGTTAAGTGGTGTGTAGCTAAAAACATTCTCACAACCTCTAGTAACATGTCATGACATTAAACATAAGAACATATTATGGCTAAGGCTACAGTTATACACATCATAATAATAATATTAAACACCCTGTCTGCTGACAGTCATCAACTCTTCTCTCTAGTTATCCTTGACCAGATGTACCCTGTAGAAACTCATAAGGATGACTAAGCATTTAACAGTCTAACTAGACATCCTATCTCCACTAAACATTTCTAATACATAAAGTATCTATCTGACTAAAAATACCAAACACTAGCAACATTCTGGTGAGGTGAGGAGTGATGAGCTACGAGGGTACCGTTAGCATGCTAGCTTTATTTCTAAGTTGCTTTCTGTAGTCATGAACTTCTATGCCTCTACGACCTGTATATTTTTATGTTATTCACGTTATGTGCACTCTGCTGTTTTGAATCATTTTAACGTGACTGAAACGAGGCCTAGTATAATTTCTGTAGAGGGTGGCTGCATGATCAATATTGTGTATGGAGGATTTCTTAATTTCATCATGTTACTGGACATTGGAAATGGGAATTGGCATCAAAGACCTGCTAACTTGTCAGACTGTCTGTTGTCCACAGATAAGTCAACATGGGAGCATATAGGTATATGCAGGAGTTATGGCGCAAGAAGCAGTCCGACGTGATGCGTTTCCTTCTCCGTGTCCGTTGCTGGCAGTACCGTCAGCTGTCCAACCTCCACCGTGCTCCTAGACCCACCAGGCCTGACAAGGCCCGTAGGCTGGGCTACAAGGCCAAGCAGGGTGAGTGCTTAGCCTAGTTGTACTGAAACCTGCACATGTGGTTTGCCATCATTTTTGCTTGTCTCACAAATGGCATTTTTGTTTGACAGGTTATGTAATCTACCGTGTCCGTGTGCGCCGTGGAGGTCGTAAACGCCCTGTGCCCAAGGGTGCCACCTATGGCAAGCCAGTGCACCATGGCGTCAACCAGATTAAGTTTGCCCGCAGCTTGCAGTCCGTTGCTGAGGTACACTCATTGTCAGTAATTGCACGGTGATGTTACAGGATAAGGCTGGTGATTTTTTTAAATTGACTTTTTTCCACAAATTCACAAATGAATTTTGTGTGCTCAGTGTGATGAAATTCGTTGTAGGTTTTAGTACCTGTATAGGTTTTGTTCAAAATAACAGAAAATCACTGGCCTTATCTTGTAAATCCTGAGGAAAGAGTAAGTTATGTGTTTTCTTGTTTGACAGTGCTTCTGATGAACTCTTGTTGGTCAGTTCACTGCATCTGAAGTGCATTCTTATGTAGCACGCATTGTAATTGCAGATATTAACATGACAAATACACCAATCAGCCATAACATTATGACCACTGAGAGGTGAAGTGAATAACACCGATTACCGCATTACAGTGGCACCTGTCAGTGTGTGTGGTACATTAGGCAGCAAGTGAACATTCAGTCCTCAAAGTTGGAAGCAGGAAAAATAAGCAAGTGTAAGGATATGAGTGACTTTGACAAGGGCCAAACTGTGATTGGTGTTCCTGGTCTGCAGTGGTTAGTACCTACCAACAGTGTCTAAAGAAGGACAAACTGTGAACTGGCGACAGGGTCATGGACGCCCGCAGCTCACTGATGATGAGGTTGACCTACTGTAGATTAAACTTTTAACTTCCATTTGTACTGTTCAAAAGATTAAAATTTATCTGAATCATTGTTAAAATGGTTGAAAATGAGAAATACTGTCCATTGGTAAGTGAGGGCTCGGGGCTGTCCCACTGTGAAATCAAGTGCACGAGGGCTCCCTCACCTTCATTTGGAGCCCTTTATGCTCACTTTCCGTATTTATTTTGGCATTTCTGCAGACTTTACCTGAGGGAATTCCCCACATTTCATAGAGTTGTCATGTGAATGCCATATGACGTGTGCTATGCCATAAAATGGAGATAAGAAAAATAAAGAAGACAAAAAGTAAATGAACAATCATTCAGATGTTATGTTTTTGTATGTTACTTTGGACAAAAGCATCTGCTAAATACTGTAACCTAAACATCCTATATTATACACCCATTTCATTCAACTGTTTTTCTTTTTTGCTTAATGATGCCGTTTTTGGCAAAAACATTAAGTTGATTAGGTCACTGATGGTTCTCCCCTCTGCAAGGCAAGAGCCTGAATCATGTTTAAACCAGCCAGTCGCACCCTGAAATGACTTGGCCGTGAGGAAAGTGAAAAATGTCAAATAAATGCCCTGAACCCTCAATAGTTAGAACTGTGGTGTCGGTTGGTGTCGTCATGGTGATGTCGTAGCCCAAGTCACAAAGTGCTGTCACTGTTCTATCCATCCATTATCATCCGCTTCTCTGGGATTGGGTTGCTGTGGCAACAGGTTCAGCAAGATAGTCCAGACGTCTGTCTCCCTAGCGATGTGTTCCAGCTCCTCTGGCAGGTTTCGGAGGCGCTCCCAGGCCAGATGAGATTTATAATCTCTCCAGCATGTTCTGAGTCTGGCCTGTGGTCTCCTACCAGTTGGATGTGCCCAGAAAACCTCCAAAGAGAGGCGCCCTAGGGGCGTCCTGATAAGATGCCCTGTTCCTACTTACGCATTTTCCAGCCCTTGTTGATTCTTGCACTCAAATCACTTACAGGTGACATCACTAAAGTCTTTGGGAGTTCAGGGCTTGAGACTTTAGGGAGGACATTGAGATTGGGCCCTGGTCCTTTTCAAACACTTTAACCCTCCATTGAGATTGGGCCCTGGTCCTTTTCACTTTAACACTGTCAGGCTCACACAGCGCTTCATCTTATTGATCGAATAATCTGCTTCTTATATTCTGGATTGTTTAATTTACATGGTCAATAATTCAAATATCTTGATTTAAAATAATGTTAAATGGGGAAAAGCAGCAAATCATCAAAGTGGAACAGCAGGATCTGGTGATCTTGAGTTCCCTTTGCTTGGAAACTGACTGAAATGATTACTTATTTAAATATTTGGCCTATTATCTTATCTGTTAGTTGTTTTTACTTTACTTTCTTTAGGTTGGCTGGCAGACTCAACATGTATATAGAAGTGACGGTGAAATGCTCCCCACAGTTCCTGCTCAGGAGTGCAGTCTGTTGGCCTGTCTCACAGGCTGCATGTAACAGCAGGAAAAGCCAGTGTTTCCATCATATACATTTTGCAGTGGTGGTCTGCCACTGCAAAGTTTATTGCCACCACTGCTTCAGAATTATGTGAAATTCAAAACATCCCAATTACACAACTCTGCATAGGGCTTTTTAATGTGAAACAACAGATACCAGTTCTGATGATTGTTGAATTTGCCAACTCACTGAGAGAAATTGAGACACTTAACTGGAAGCTGTTGTTAATGTTTCCTGCTATAATTAGAAATATCTGCAGGGACAAGGCTGTTGCTATAATCCC